ATCTCAGAGTGCACATCAGCCTGTGGATTTCCCTTCTTGCCCTCACTCTGGAGAACAGATATGGTGCTGTTGACAACTGTATAGAAGCTGCACAAAGGAAAGTTGAAGATAAAGGACCCGCACCTTGTCCAAAGTCCACTGGAAAGACAACTCAGTCTCCTTGATGTGTTCATAGCATTACACTAATAATATTTTTTAAATCCCTAATTGATACAGTTTAAGTTGAAAGGAAGATTTATTTTGTTTCCTGAGATTAAGAATTCCTCATATCAGTGAGATCATATGATACATGTCTTTCTCTGATTGATTTATTTCGCTCAGCATAATACTGAGGGTTGCTGGAGTGGTGGGGGTTGGGAGGGATGGGGTGGCTGGGTGGTAGACACTGGGGAGGGTATGTGCTATGGTGAGCACTGTGAATTGTGTAAGACTGATGAATCACAGACCTGTACCTCTGAAACAAATAATACATTATATGTTAAAAAAAAAAAGAAGATGATAGTAGGAAGGGAAAAATGAAGGGGGCGGAATCGGAGGGAGAGACAAACCATGAAAGACTATGGACTCTGAGAAACAAACTGAGGGTTCTAGAAGGGATTGGGGTGGGGGAATGGGTTAGCCTGGTGATGGGTATTAAAGAGGGCACATACTGAATGGAGCAGTGCGTGTTATACGCAAACAATGAATCATGGAACACTACATCACAAACTAATGATGTAATGTATGGTGATTAACATAACATAATAAAATTTAAAAAAAGAAAGGATTTATTAACTTAATAATATGTTCAATAAAAAAGAACAAAGTAATATTTACATAGAACTCTATTTGTAATAATTGGATCTCTGTGCATCTGTGAAATGAACACAATTTTAATAATGGCCATTGCTGAGTAGCTGGATGTTAAGTAATCTTGTATCTTTCCCATAAACTTAATTAATTGCATGTGTTGTTTGCACTGTCATCACTAAGAATTAATCCATTTATGAAAAACATAACAAGAGGTTTTCAAGAGTATTCTTTTTATTTTAGGTCATTGTCAAGAAGGGAACATAAGGGCATTTTTTTTTCTGTTTCCAGGAGGAGAGAGCAATGGTGGTAAAAGGTTTTTCATTTAAATCTTCTTCCAGATTTTTATGTTTTCCTTTAGTGTATAAAATGGGCTAAGTGTACCTCAATATATCATAAGAATTAAATAACACATTTAAAAGATGCAATTTTCAGCAAGTTATTAGTCTTTCATTACTGATTGAAGAGTTTTAAGACAAATCAAATATTTCATTATCGAGTATTTTACTTTACAATCTCAAATAATTTATTTGTTGTTCATAGAATATATCATTTTTCAACACCTCTCCATCACTGTCCAAATCCCTTCCCATCACAATGTACTTTATTGAAATTGTATTAAATATATTCCTATCTGTAAAGATTAAACCTATTCACGTTATACAAAATTGGATTCACTACCCACCTTTTATATATGTGTAAAAATAATAGGTATTTATTTTTTTCTTCTTTATCTTTTCTTTTAAAGATTTTAATTTAATAGCCTTTACACATGATCAGGAAACCAGGATTTTTGTTTTTGTTTTTGTTTATGCTTTATTTTCATTTTAAAAAAATGGTAAAGATGAGAGAGGGTTTAAGATAAGAACTGGAATTCAGAAGAAGACAGACCTGGTTCACATCTATATACTATCTATCATTTACTTGTTAGCTGTGTGACTGTAGATTACTAGTCTTGTTAACATTCAGTGTCCTCATCTCTTTAACATAGCTTTAATATATATGTATATATATATATTATAAAGACATAGGTATTTTTATAATCAGGTATATATCTATTTTCCTGAGGATGATAATGGAGTTTCTAAGATCATTCAGAGCCACCTAACTCTGTCTCAGGAACTAAACTCTGGTGCTGAAAGAGAACATGGCATCATTCATGGCATCCTGTCATGAAATGGTGTCTCCAGGATCCATCCTTATCCACTTTAGAGCTGGCTTACCCAGTCATTCTGATTCTAGTTGTACCTCGTAGCCTCAGGTCCTCTTTGGAGCTCTCTGCCCAGCCACCTTGGGACTTGTTTTTCCTGATGCTTCCTTTGCTCCTGGTTCGAGCTGAGCAAAAATTTCTTCTCAGCTACCCCTGCTGGCCACACCATTCCCAAGTCCAAGCCAGATGTCTGAAACAGTAGTTCTGATCTTAGTTTCAGACCTCACATTGCCAAGAAATGAGTTTAGATAATTAATCCCAGAGTACCTCATTTTATGTTATCCTGTGTGACCCTATCCCAAGGGCCACAGCTGAAAAAAGATGTTGCTGGAGGTCATGGAGAGGATATGATCACTGGTTGACCTGTGAGCTGGACCCAAGGAATCAGAAGATCCTCACCCCTCCCCTGTCCTTGGAATGTACATTCTGCCCACCAATCCCACAGTTTGAACTGTTCCAAAGACATAGCCTTGAGAGATCAATGTGGTGTTGAGACCACCTGGATGGTATACATGACTGAACCCAGTTAAGGCCTCTGTATAAACTTTTAAGATTCTGGAGGGCAGAAGTGGAGATCTGCTCATTGTGTGGCTGCCGAAGTTCATTACACCTGCCACCTACCAATTTGGAGTGGTCTGCCTCTTTCTTCCATCTCTTCCTACCCTCTGTGGGGTTTCTGAACCAACATACACTTAACAACAAAGAAACAAATATCCGTCTGTTGTGATGAATCCATACACTGTAGTAGACATTTTCTGCTCAGTATTTAGGATGAAATACTTGTTTCTCATTGGCATCAAGCTGTCATTCCACTCTTCCTTATTGACAGCCCACATTGACCAGAGCCCTAACTCACCACTGAGCTGTATGGACAAAAACCTATTTTTAAAGATAGTTTCCACTGCAGGGAATAGAACTATGATTTTGGTTTATAACCCAGCCTGCATTTTCACTGTCAGATGGCTTTTTTGTCTAATTTACCTTCTCCCACTATTCAACCTCACCCTTGGTTTAATGCTTTCCTTTGGCTTTTTGCCACACTTTGGCTATGGATCATGTTCCAGTAACCCACCTAACTGTGATCCCACCATTTGTTGGCTTCTGATTCCATCTCTTGCTGTCAGAGGATATCTTCTCCCAGAAAGTTCAGCTGTTTGCTTACCAGTCAAGAGATTTCAGACTGAACCTATTTTTGGGGAAATAGTTTATGAGCCAGACTTTAATTTTGGTGATATTTGCAAATTGTTTTTTAATAAGTCACCATACTTGACAATATTTTCCAATAGTCACATGTGTATATAGTACCCTTCTAGAGAAGGAAACAAAAAAAAACTGCAAGAGAAACAGTTATAGGTATATAATCTAAATTAAAAACAATCAATAGCAAATATACTCATGTTTATTTCATAAAAATTTACTCAGGATCCACACTGGAGAAAATACTGTGATAAAGAAGCAAGGCATCAAATAAGGGCCAATAATTAATGATCAGTCTAGTAAAGGGATACAAACAACTACAAGATTAGATAGAAAATTCTAAGAGTTTTTAAAAGAAGCACACTTAAGATTCTAGTGTGGCTTAGGATGTGACTTACCATCTATAATTGAAGGGGGTACCAAAAAAATCATATAGGAGTTAAAATTTGAGGCAGTTTTTTTAGAGAGAGTATAATTAGGCAAGTAAGCTACAATGCACACATATTTACATGGAAATAAAATTAATTGAGAAATGGTCTCAGTAAATTGCATTTATTTTCTTTCACAAAAAGTTTTGTGATATTTTAATGGCTTATCCAATATTGAAAATAATTGCAGTAAAATTTAGGATGGGAGAGAAAAGGAGTAAGAATATGGAATATAGGACATTATGCAAAGGGTAAATCTACTCCTGAAATATATATTAAAAATGTCAACTTTAAAATAATAAAGAGATAGACATAATATAAGTAATGTGACAGGACCTGGTTCTTATGTTAGGCTTGGGCCCTAATCTGTAGTTGAGACATCATTACCCATGGATTTGGGGAACGTCCATATTAAACTGACTTTCTCAATAATTAGAACCAAAGGTCAAAGAACAGACACGTTGGAAAGTTGTCAGGCTCAGTTTCATTCTTCCTTAAGAAAACAATTTTGGACTGATCATTTTCCTAAAGGCATTTTTGACATCTTTGTTCCTTAGACTGTAAATTAGGGGATTCAACATAGGTATAATCAATGTGTAGAACACAGAGGTTACTTTGTCAGTATCCAGTGAATGACCAGTGCTGGGGCACAAATAAATAAAAATGAGGGTACCATGGTAGATTGTGACTACGGTCAGATGGGAGGCACAAGTGGAAAACCCTTTTCTTCTTCCTTCAGCAGAACTTGTTTTAAGAATAGCTGCTATGATGCAGACATAAGAGAGAAGGACTGTTAGAGAAGACAGATAGCTTCCACCAAACGAGCGAAGACTACCAGAATAATGTCATGCGTGTAAGTATCAGTGCAGGACAAAGAGAAAAGCGGGGAGATATCACAGAAGAAATGGTTAATCTCTTTGGAGCAGAAAGACAGATGGAAGGTATTAGTAGTGTGAATAATTGAGCTCATGGAACCTCCCCAAAATGCTCCAATGGCAAGCTGGCAGCAAACCCTTTTGGACAGAATAACCTTATAAAGCAGTGGGCTGTAGATTGCTATGTATCGGTCATAAGCCATGGCAGCCAAGAGGAAAGATTCCGTGTCAACCAAAGAGCAGAAAAAATATAACTGTGCAGCACAGTCTTTGTAAGAAATGGTCTTTTTATCAGGAACCAAGTCCACAAGTAATTTGGGGGCAATGACAGAAGGATAGCATACATCTATAAATGACAATGTACAGAGGAAAAAGTACATCGGGGTGTGCAAGTGGGAACAGGTTGTGATTAATAACATCATCCCAAGGTTCCCCATGAGGGTAACAGAGTAGATAAAAAGAAACACAGCCAAAAGAATCCTCCAAAGCTCTGGATGGTCACTAAATCCCAAGAGAAAGAACTCTATCTTCACAGCGCGGTTCTCGAACTCCATTCTCTGCAGTGCCCCTGGACTTCTGAAGTTGTGGCACAGTAATAATGGCAATATTAATAACAACCTCAGCATTCACTAAAATATAAGAAATAAAACAGTGAAAATAAATACAAGAGGAATTCTAAATCCACTTGGACATCCTGGTAACACCTAGGCACATCTACAGCTAGTGTAGTATTATGCATTTCAAATTTTCAGATTTTCAATTTTTTAAAAGATTTTATTTATTTGAGAGAGAGAGACAGAGATTGTGAGAGAGAAAATGAGCAGCAGGAAGAGGCAAAGGGAGAGGGAAAAGCAGGCTCCCCATTGAGCAGGGAACCCAATGCAGGGCTCAGTCCTAGGACCCTGGGGATAATGACCTGAGCCAAAGGCAGATGCTCAACTGACTGAGTCACCCAGTAGCCCCAGATTTTCAAATTTTTATTAAATCGACAATGTATCACTTCTATTACTTAAAGCTATTGTTTTCCATATTTAGGGGCACCACCATCAAATCAGTTGTTGAAGCCCACTTTCTTCAATTTCCTCATCTTCCACCAATGTCAAGTAATAGTGGTTAACCACTTGGTTATATAACAAACTGAAGAAATAGCCTCTGTCCCCATTTGTGTTGTTTTTATTTTCACAACAGACAGCATTGCTGTTCCAGGTGAAGCCCCGTATAGGTAGAGGAGCAGAAGTTCTATGTTTCTCACCTTGAGATGTGGCTTCACCTCTGAGGAACAAAAGAACTCCTAAGAGTTGTTTGAAATCCACTGCTCAAATAGAAAGAAGAAAGGTTCTACATTAGTTATAAAAGTCACTGAATCTTCGTTCTGCGTGGAGCACTGGGTGTTATGCACAAACAATGAATCATGGAACACTACATCAAAAACTAACGATGTAATGTATGGTGATTAACATAACAATAAAAAATTACTTAAAAAAAAAAAGTCACTCAATCCCAGCTCTGTCGCTCAGAAGTTGTGAGACCTTGGTCAGGCCAATGAACCACGGAGTTTCAGTCCATCATCTATGAAAGTGATAGTACCTTTCCCATCAAACTGTAAGTGTTAAATGAATGTCCTTCTACAGATTCAACCATCTCACCATCTTGTTCCTTCGCAATTCTAAAGCTGGCAGCATAGCAATTCTGAGTCAATCTAGACATCTGTTTATTTTTCTGGAATTCAATCTATGGAATACAACTAGAGAAATCCTCATGCCCATAAATGTGTTAAATTCAATCCAGACACTGAGAGGATGATATCCAGGAATGTTTCCATGCCCTCTGCAGTGAAAAATTGTAAAAGATGTTGGAAAAAACCTCACCTACCCAGTTCTCTACTTTTCTGCCTTTCATCATCCTTGCTCTAGTTTAGAAATCTGTTGGACAACCAATAGCAGCACTAGTGGTACTTGCCTACAGACATGCACATTTTGTCCAGTGTAAAGACAATCGATTTCCCTCCCTCCTGTGGAAAAAGCCAGTTTTGTATCTATTTGTATATTTATTTGTGAATTTTTGATCTATAATTTTTTGCATTATCTTTTATAATAGTTGGAACAGTTGAATAAATGAATGAATGAATGAAGTAAAATCACTGTCATGGTTTCATCTTATATTTGTATAAAAGTTAGACATATATATGTGTATATATGATTGAAAAAATTGTTCTTTACTATTGCATATCACACACAACTATTTTCCTCCTTTAATCACTATTGTAAACCTTCATAATTCTTCTTAGGTCTCATTCTATGATCTTCTCACTGCCAGAAAATGATTTCTGTCTTGTAGACAAAAATATCGGATAGCAAATAAGTATGTGTTCAACTTTCTCATCAAGTCATCCTATAAGCATTTGGCTTCATCAATGACCTCCTTTCTCCCTTCCTTTCCATGCTTTTCCTCTATGAGGATAATCCCTTCAATTGTGCACCCGATTCTGACAACCTGCACAAATTAATATATTTATACTATTACTACTAATGTTTCCTTCATAAACTTGCAGCACATAGCATTGAAGTCAATCTCACCTTTAAAAATATTACTCTGTATCTATTTCCATTTATTTTCTTTTATTTTATTCCAATATTTTCTTACAGACACCTACACTGGTTTCCACTTTCTCACTTCAGCCTACTGAGGTAGGATTTTTATCCCAACAGCTTAAAACCCTTTTTGTTTCAATCCCAAAGTACACCCTAACTGTCAAATCCAAGGATTTTCGATAGGTAATGAACTTTATTTCTCTACTGCATGTGAGAGCTTTGACCTCTCCTTTCTTTTTAAAACCCCCTTCTCTTTTGGCTTCTATATACCTCTCTTGATTTCAGTACTAATCTCAGTATGCCCCTACTCAGCCTCCTTCATACATGTTGGCACTTTCCTAGGGCTTCATTCTCAACCTACTTCTCTCCTCACTACGCACACTCTCCCTACATTATTCTGTGCCTTTTCTTACAATACCAAGTATACAGTGATAATTTCCACATACCCATTCCAGAAGCATCTGTCCAATTCAAAGTGAGCTATCAAATAGGCATGTGTGCATTTCAGCATGCTTAAAACAAAATTTAATTACTATCACTTCCTACAACTTATGCCTATCCTATGATCCCTATCTTGGTATACATCTCCACCACCTCCATTGCTAGTCCAAATAAGAAACCTCCTTTAGCTCAAAACTGAACAAGAGCCATTGATTCAATCTGTGAAATTTGGCAAATATCGAATGTCTCCTTCTTGTCATCACTGATATTCCATTATTTAATGTCATCCCTCATTTTCTTCAACTTGAACTTCTTAATTGGCCTCATTCTCTCCAGTCAATTCCCATCCTACTTCCAAACATGATCCAAAATGTATCCATAAACCACTGTAAGAGTTACCTGTATAAAATACATTTTGTATTGTGTTGCCTTCTTCTTAAACCCTTAAATTATTCCCTGTTCCCTACAAGCTCAACATTTAAATACGCTCAGTTTTCACATATATTCCCATTTTTATCTCCTATACTCCATCTCACTCCAAACACTTTGCCTTAAAAAAAGTGTTAATTGGAGAAAGAAGCATCTCAGATCTACTAGTCAACTCTTTGAAACACTCCTTTCCTGAAATATATATGGCATCCTCCTTAGAAAATATCAACTGTCTTTGAGTGACAGCCCATCTGTTCCTGTCTATGAATATGAGAGGCAAGATTGTCGATCAACCTAAAAGTGGAACAATGGCCACTGCTATGAAGGCAAATGAAAAAAAATTATACCAGTGGCTAGAAAGGCAAAGGTGGATGAAAATGCCTCTTTTTTGTGTCATTCACTCTTTTGGAAATTATGAAAAACAACTATCAAAAGGTAGGCATGAAAGAAAGAGGCTCCTCTTGAGGGACAGTGTTTAAATAAGCTTGGGGTCTGAGCCATGGAGAACAACCACTCCTTTGCTGAAGTTATTTTCTACCAAATCCTTTATTTTTAATCACAAAAGTAGAGGTACTGAAAAAATCCATTTACATAGAGAATATTTACTTGTAATAATCTTTCAAGGATGTTATATGCTTTAAGACCATAGAAGACTTCCAGGATTGAAAAATGAAATATGAAAGTCAGTGGGACGATAGAAGAGGAAAGGAATACAAGATAAAAAATTAAGAAGAGTCCAAACAGGAGCCAAAAAATCTGTTCTTCTATGCAATTGGTAGGTGAGAATGAAAATGAACTCTAAAAGAATTCAGCAAAATTACCTCTTCCTGTAGTCAGTTCTCTATAGTGAGCCTTAGTTTCTACCTTTGTAAACCATTTTTTCTGTTCCCTCAAAGCCACTCCCTTAACCCTACCCCAGTCCTGTTACCTGTGTATTGATAACTGTTCGTATCAACACATAACCACAGAATAGAATAAATAATATGATATACAAATTGGGTGAGTCTTAATTTATATCTCAGTCTGATTAACTTTAAAAAAATTAATAGGCAATGAACACTGTTTATAGTTAGATTTCTAATCAGAGTCCAATAATACTGAAGATTGTTTTAGGAATATCATCCATTAAATGTGCTTTTATGTTGGTGGTGGTGTGTTTGTTGGAAATGCCTTGAGAATTAAAACCTGTGTTATGCTTGGCATATGTATTCTCAAAACATCAGTTTCTTGCATGTAAAATAAATGATTATAAGATGAGCACTTAAAATCCTGTTCAACTCTGATATCCCAGGATTATGTGAAGGGCACTTACCAGATCTCTTTCATTTACCTTCTTATGACCCTGTTGTCAATATCAGTTCATTTTTCACTGGAAAAATCAGTGTTGACAGTTAAATATTTAAAAAAATCGACCCATTGCAACATTTTCCGTAATCCATTCAGGCAGTCCTTTTGTTTTTGTAGAAGAAATCTGTGCCTCCCTTAGGAAGGTAGTGGTTCCTCAGGATAATGCAAGACCTTTTATATTTTGCCTCAAGTTTTTTGAGGTTAGCTTTCAGATCGCACTTAGGATCCTAGGGACTCACAGTCTGATATGCAAATCCCAGTGGGAAAAGATATGTGAGCAATTAAACAGTTCTACTGAGGAACTGATTAAACACAAAATGAAATGATGCAATGTGTTTTTCTACATCTTGAGGATGTCTCAAAGAAAAATATATTTTTTAGTTTTGAAATGGTAGATTATTATACATAAAATTAGATTAAATTATTTGCTGACTAAATTGATTTAACCAGCTAAGAGCAATTTATCAAACAACTATCAGAGTATTATCCTATGTAGTAGGATAGTAAAATAAACTAGAAAGAAGCAAAAATATATCTATCTGGCTGTTGAGAATTAGAAGACCTTGAAAGTTAAAAGTCAGTGGAAAACCAATTATGAACGAAGTTAATGACTCTATGTGTTAATGTGCTATGTGTGCATCTATTGTAAGTGGAATTCTGACCATCCAAGGACAGAATAGATCAGAGAATATTTCTTTAATGAATACATCTATTTGGCGCAACTGGCTGGCTCAGTTGAAGAGCATGCAACTCTTGATCTCACGGTCATCAGTTCAAGCCCCACATTGGGAGTAGAGATTCCTTAAATAAATGAACTTAAAAAAATACATCTACTCTGTGAACATGTATGCCAGGTGACAAAACAGAAAAGAGAATAACTTGCACTACACATTTAAGAATTTTGTCAAGGCACACCTGGCTGGCTCAGTCGATTAAGTGTCTGCTTTGGGCTCAGGCCGTGATTGTAGGGTCCTGGGATTGAGCCCCACTTCGGGGTCCCTGCTCAGAGAACGGTCTGCTTCTTCCTCTCCCTCTGCCACTCCCCGCTTCTTGTGCTCACTCTTTCTCTCTCAAATAAATAAAATCTTTTAAAAAGAAAGAATTTTGTCAAGTACAGAATAGTGAATGAGAGATGGTAAAAGAAACAACATAAGCAATTGCGTAAGTAGTGGAAAGTGTGTGGCATGATTGTAGACCTGAAAATGAGATTTAGAGACAATGTGTTGCCTCATGAAAAGAGATAAGGCTAGGGGTGTGTGTGTGTGTGTGTGTGTGTGTGTGTGTGTGTGACCAAGAGTGCGGAGGTGGAGAAACTCTGTTCTAGTTGGAGGACCAAAGAAGAAAGATGTTTCTATCACCTTCATCTTAAAATCCAAAGTCTTGTGGGTGATGTGGGAAATTTACTCCATTTAGAACAATCTGAAAAGCAATACAGAGCCATATTTTCATCATATGCATAACATTATTATATTCGTCATTATTTATTCATTTATTAAAAGAAATAATGAGTAGCTGTCTTTGCTGGAATATTTCTAAATAACTCTTGCCCTCAAAGATGTCTTTTTAAGAAACATTAGGAAGAATGAATTTTATAAGCCAGGTTTTTGCAGGTATTTTTGTAATTATGTTTAAGTTCAGTGATAACGCTGAGACTGGCCGCTTATCCCCAGTTCATATTTAAGAGACTCAAGGTTAAGCAAGTTTAACTATCTTCCTCAAAATCACTCTTCAGGGCCTGAATCTAGACCAGTTCTTTAAGAGTCCAATGCCCATCGTACTTCACTAAAGCAACAAGGACCTATGTTACTTTAAATAACCCATCCCAATAAAGATATAAACAATAACTATTATAAAATGAAATCCTAAGAAAGTGAGAAAACAAATGAAGTGTTAACATTGCAGGAACACAGGAAAAGTAAATCACACTTTGGCCTTTAAAAGGTGGATGTGTTAAGTTTGAAAATGGACCTTTATATATATCAAGTTCTAATTCCTGGAACCTGTAAATGCCACCTTATTTGGGGGAAGGGTGTTGTTTGCAGATGTGATTAGGGTAAGGATCTTGGTATCAGGGGATTATCCTAGATTATCTGGGTGGGCTGTAAATGTCTTCACAGGTGACCTTATAAAAGAGAGGGAGGCTAGTGGCGCCTGGGTGGCTCAGATGGCTAAGTGTCTGTCTTCAGCTCAGGTCATGATCCCAGTGGTTCCCTGCTCAGTGGGGAGCCTGCTTCTATCTCTCCCTCTGCAGCTCCCTCTGCTTGTGCTCTCTCTCTCTCTTTCTGTCAAATAAATAAATAAATAAAATCATTTAAAAAAAGAGAGGGAAGGACGCTATTTCACACACACACACACACACACACAGACATATGTGTGTGTGTGTATGTGTGTGAGAAAATGTAGGAAAGATGGAGAGTAGAGAAGTTTGAACACACCTGTCTTAGTCCCCACAAACTTGAAGAGATAAGGGAAAGTGTTATCTTAGAGAACCTCCTGGCCCAGTGACAGTGATTTCAAATTTCTGCCCTCCAGAACTGTAAGAGAATAAAGTCTATTGTTTTAAGCCACCAAATTTATACTTTTTTTTTTTTTCCAGAAGCCACAGGAAACTGCAATCAATATGTTGAGAATATAATAGACTTGAAAATACAGTAAATGACTAAAATAATATCAGGCAAAACAAACAAAAAAATTCAACAATAGAAACTTAAGAAAGGTAAGCCATCAAATACATGATCTACTTATTTAATCAAGAAATAAGATAGACTAGAGAACAAAAGGTAAAACTAAAAGTAACGATAGTAATATCGGCAAATACTTCATTAATCACTTATAATATACCATATATAGTGATAAGAATTTGAGATACATCATTTAATTTTCATGGATATCTTATTAGAAAATTAGACTATTATCTCTATTTTGTAGAAGAAAAAGTTTTCTTAAACTTTTTATAGTTGTATAGTTGACATACAATGTTATATTAGTTTCAGGGGTACAACTTCATGATTTGATAATCCTGTACATTACACAGTGCTCACCATATAAGTGTGGTTATCATCCGTCACCATACAACATTATTATAATACTATTGACTGTATTTCCTTTGCTGTACTTTTCACCCCTGTGACTTATTTATTTTATAACTAGAAGTTTGTGCTTCTTAATCCCCTTAAAAGAAGTTTTGAAAGTCCTAAGATTATAATATTGCAATGGAAAAAGTAGTTAAAAAAACAAAAATGACTAAAAAATTCTCAGAAATTTATTTATTAAAACTTTTATTAAACTTTTTATTAAAAACCATAAGGTATCAGACAGATGTACACTCATTCCATGTAAAAAATGAAATTAATTTAGTAAAAAAGTTTGCATGCTTTAATGATGATGAAAAGACATGTCTGTCGATGTGCACTTTGTGAGAAATACATTGAAGTTATCTTAAACCAAATATTGAGTCTAACAATACCACTCCAAGCCCTTTCTAAGCAATTAGAGATTGGAGAAGAAGAGCAAAGGCACCAAGTGCCTTTGAATTATCCATAAGGAGATAATATATTGCTTAATAAGATAAGCAAGTGGAAAACAAAAAAGAATGCAGAGTCCCCCAGCTCATAGTATTCTTCCCTACTTTACTTTTTGTTCACATCCACACAAAATCAGCCCCTCATTAAAAGTCTCTGATGAAACACTGAGTCTAATTAAGAAAATAGTTTTTCAAAAGATAATCTAGATCTCAATACTTTCTTGAGAGCTTCTTTCACATCCTTGTTCCTCAGGCTATAGATGAAGGGGTTCAGCATGGGGATCACTATGGTGTAGAACACCGTGGCCACTTTGTCAGTCTCCACACTGTTGCCAGAACTGGGCCGGCAATAAATGAAAAGAATTGTTCCATGGAAGACAAGGATGGCTGTCAGATGGGAGGCACAGGTGGAAAAGGCTTTGCGCCTTCCCTCTGCAGAGTGCATCCTCAAGATGGTGACGAGAACCAGCAAGTAGGAGGTGAAGATGATCACAATAGTGATGATCTCATTGACAGTGGCCACAATGAACACCATAAGTTCATTAATAGAGACATCAGAGCAAGCAAGCAATAAGAGAGGGGGTAGATCACAAAAGAAGTGGTTAATCACATTTGATCTATAGGATGGGATCTCAAGAGCTAAACACAAGTGGATCAGAGAACACACCATCCCACAGAGGTAGCAGCAAGACACCAGCTCCATACAGAGATTCTGGGACATGGTGACCATGTACAACAGTGGGTTGCAGATGGCCACAAAGCGGTCATAAGCCATCACGGCCAGGAGGAAGACCTCAGTGATTGCATAGGTACAAAACAAGTAGAATTGTACCATGCATTCCAGGAAAGAGATGGCTTTGTCCCTGTTTAAGATATTGGACAGCATCTTTGGCACGATGATCGTGGAGTAGCAAAAATCCACAAAGGACAAGTGGCTGAGGAAAAAGTACATGGGAGTGTGGAGTTGAGAGCTGACCTGAATCAATGCAATCATGCCTAGATTTCCCAGAACCGTGATTCCATAAATGAGAAGGAACACCAAGAAGAGGAAGACTCTCAGCTCAGGGGCATCTGCTAATCCGAGAAAAATGAACTCTGTAATAAAGGTGCAGTTCTCCTCCCCCATTTCTGCCATATGTCAGGCTTAGAAAAGCGAATGTTAGATCTTGTGTTTCTTCTAAAATGGGAGGAAAAAAACAGGTTCATATTAACTTCAGAAAAATATAGCATTGATATCAAATGTTGTATTTATAAGAAATAACAAAAGCACAGTTGTCAAATAATTCGAAATGTTAAATGTTCAGTAGATTCGAAATGTTAAATGTTTCAAATTTGACTTCAGCATCAGCAGAAACATTAAAAAACTTAAATGATTCCAACCTTTATCACAATACATTGAGATGATTAACTAAGTTCCATTGTTTGATGGATTTTAAAGTAGAATCAATGATACATTTCAAAGCCCCACAGAAATGAACCTCTGTTTTTTGAAAATCCTTAAGAAACTTCAGCCAACACAGTACCACCTACTGTGATTCTATAAAACATATACTTACTTTTTTTCACTGAGTCTCTCAGGAACATATATTTGAAGCAAAGTTTTTTAACATTCCATTTTTAGGAAGTGTGACACATTTTTTGAGGTCTGCAGCTGACAAAACCCTTTTAAATTTTGAATTATGGGCCAAGAGATTTAAAATATAGATTTAAATGAAAATTTTAAACCAAATTAACAAAGTGGTTTAATCAATTATCATAGTAATGATCTACAGTAATAAACTCTTAATCCTGACAACAATAAAAACTATATTATGAGTGATTTCATTCTTAATAAGCTGCTGTAGAAATATTTCATCACATTAATAAATCATGAAAAACTAATCCAAAAGTACATTGCAGTACTATTTATAATATGAAAGTAGAAAATGTTAATGACCAAGAGTAGAGCAATTATTAAATTACAGTGGGTCATATCTGGGAGAGAAAATTATCCAGTTGGTGGTTACTTAAAAAAAGAAACAAGATACCAAATAGTCTACTTGGTGTACATACGTAGATGTATATAAAGATGTACATAGAGGGGTATGAATACATTTGATAGATCTATCTATCAATATTTTTAATTTGGCTATAACTGAAATATTCATCCTTTACCCACATCAAAGAGAGGTGCCTGAAAACTCTCTCAAGATCTCTAAGTAGTTGGCTGGGAAAAGTGGTTATTTTGGGTACTCGATACAGTGGGATCTACCATAAGACCTTTCCTTAAAGAAAAGGCAAATAGACATTGAGGGATTCTATTCTCTGCCCTCCCTTCTAGACTGCAGGAGAAGTATACTCGTGACCTCTACACATATGTGTAATGAAAATTGAGTGAAGAGGTTCTGCACTAGAAGAATAACTTGTTATTTTCTCCATATCTTGAACTATCTTTTTTTTTTTAAAGATTTTATTATTTATTTGACAGAGAGAGAGATAGCGAGAGCAGGAACACAAGCAGGGGGAGAGGCAGAGGGAGAAGCAGGCTTTCTGCCGAGCAAGGAGCCGGATGTGGGGCTCGATCCCAGGACCCTGGGATAATGACCCGAGCTGAAGGCAGACGCTTGAAGACTGAGCCACCCAGGCGTCCCCTGAACTATCTTTAAAGTGGAAGCATATCACTTTCCTGAAGTCAATGTTTTTTGTTTTTGTTTTTTCATTATTTGGCCAAGAACAGAAATAAAATAAAAGCAAAACAAAATACCTGAGTTATTTCCCTGCTTCCCAGTTAAACAGGAAAGTCAACTTGGTAAATTTTTTTCCTAATGTTTATGCTGATAATAAGAAACTATTTCATGGGAACTTCTGAATAACTCCAGAAGAATTCATCTCATTTTCTGAGCAGAGAAACTTCACAGGTCCTGAATGTCTGTGAACAGTCTGGCAGTCTGGTAAATGCAACCCTCAGCATTATTAGGACAATGAAGGAGCTCTTCCATGATCATAAATTCTTGATTTCATGACAGAAACAGGTCTGAAAGGAGGTGTTAGGAGGAAACAGAAAGAGAGAGAGAAGACGGCTACCATTTGCTTATTCTGTTATTCTTTCATACACACCCATATTTGATGTTACAGAGAAAATTGTTCTAAATTCACCGTTAGTGTTTTTGTATACTAAAATACAAAAGCATTTTAAACAGTAACTGCACACGAATAGAAGTCCTGTTAAAACATTCTCTAATTAGAAGAGAGATGAGTTCAATACATCTTTAAAATAATTGTTGACAGGGAACATACATTCATTTCTATTTTCAAGTAACCAGAGGCTACTTCTAGCTAGCAGACCTGAGTGGCAGACACTTTGTCCTTGGTGCTGAAGATGTTAAGATGTGTACAACAGACAGAGACTTATACTGTAATTTAAGCTCTTGGGAAATGGGCTCCTTAGGCTCCAAAACAATTAATAATCCCTATGGTATAACAAACTATACAAAAATTAAACTGAGACTACATGTCATGTAATGCAACTAATAATTAATCTTTATGGCACATCATCAGTTATTTATTTTTTAAATTATCCCAATTCGGGAAAAAAACTGTTTAAAACCAAACATGCCCCCTCCCAGCATGGGTGCTATGCAATATTACATCTAAGCGTCATATGTGTGGGACAGAGCTCATAAGGCCATAATGAAATAGCATGAATATTTCTTCCTTTCTAATAACGAGTCCCTCAGATCCTCCCTGTAGGGCATAGTGGCAAATGCCATATCAGAATTCCTTTAATTTTAATTTTAACTTTAATTTTAATTTTATGCCAACAATTTAGTCAACTTACATGATATAGACAAATTTGAAAAAGCATAAAATTGCTTATACTATTCACTATACTCATTTTAATTTCTTTAAGTTTACTCTCCTCAATGATTGTATTAATTTTGTTTCTTGTTTCTTTTTTTCTTAGTAATTTTAGCTAATTTTGTCAATTATATTAATCTTTTCACAGTACAAACTTATTGATCTTCTCTGCTCTTCACTATATTGGCTTGTGTTCTAGTCTATTATAAACTTCCTTTGTTTGTTCTTTTTGTTTGTTTGTTTTACTCTCTTAATGTGGAAGGGATGTTTCTAGTTTTAAAAGACTTTCTCTTTTCTAATATAGTTATTTGAATACCTAAATTTCCTTGTAAACACTAGGAAGCATCTATTAAAATTTTATAGGTTGGTTTTCATTTTCATCACTGACTCTAATCAAGAGTAATATAATATTTCTGCTACTTTTTTACAAGTGTTCCATATGAGTTCAAATCAAGTAAGTGACAATGTGTAAAGGAAGGCAGTTTCATATATGTGAATCTATATGATTATATAAAATAGTGTGGAATATAATTATATATCCAAATTTCTGAAATAAAGTTAATTTTAATTTTTTACTGTAAGTTTAAAATCATATCACCATTCCAAATTGTTTCATGAACCAATATAAGATTATTGTGCAGTTTTTATGTTACCTTCAACAAAAACAGCTAGTATTTTTCTCTCAATAGTTTTCTGGACTAATTTGGGATTTATCCATAAACAGAGCACAGAACAAAGGATATATAACTCATTCAAGCAAAATTAATGATAGAAGAAAGATAAACACAATGTCATGCAATTTTTGAAAATTAGGAACCCATATCTATTTGGCCATTTTATAATAAATATTACTAGTACTAGAAAAAATTAATCGTTCCTAATAGGCACAATAATCTAGGTTTTATTACTTATTTGTTCAGATTATAATTAAAAATGACAGTTAATTTAAAAGCACTTTAAAGGGGTGCCTGGGTGGCTGGGGTGGTTAAGCTATGGACTCTTTTTTTTTTTTAATTTTATTTTATTGTGTTATGTTAGTCACCATACATTACATCACTAGTTTTTGATGTAGTGATCCATGATTCGTTGTTTGTATATAACACCCAGTGCTCCATGCAGTACGTGCCCTCTTTAATACCCATCACCAGGTTATGGACTCTTGATTTTAGCTCAGGTCATGATCTCAGATTCCTGGGATTGAATCCCGTGTCTGGCTCTGTGTTCAGTGCCAAGTCTGATTGAGATTCCCCCTCTCCCACTCCCTTATTAATACCCATCACCCATTTAACCCATTTTGTGCCCAACCCCTCTCCAGCAACCCTCAGATTCTTCTCTATAGTTAAGAGTCTGTTTTCTGGTTTGCATCTCTTTTTATTTCCCCTGATGCCAAAGACAATTTTGATCAGTGGGATCCACTGAGACATTTAAAATTTTGAATTATTTGACAACTGTGTTTTTGTTATTTCTTATAAATACAACATTTGATATCGATGTTATATTATTCTGAAGTTATAATTAATCTGTTTTTACTCCCTTATTAGGGAAATACTGTGGCTTAGATTGATATTATAAAGTCAGAAGAAGAACACACCTAGGATAGGCATGAAACCCAGAACTGTTTTCTGGCTGGTTACTAGGAAGCAAAAAGGAATTAATACTTGCATAATATTTAGAATAGTTTCCAACACTTAGCAAGGGCTCAATACGTGTGACTTATTGTGTAGTTTTCTGACCAGTAGCATCATTAATTTTATGGTATTTTAAAGGAATTTAAAGGAGAAACCTTAAATGAACCAAACTTTATCTATCACAATGCATTGAGATGATTAAGTTCAGTTATTCGATGGAATTTAAGATTGATTTAATGATATATTTCTACCCATATAGAAATTATCTCTGTTCTGCAGAAACTTAATAAGCTCTGTCCAGCAGAATGGCACCTACTGTGATTCTCAAAAATATTCTTTTTTTTTTTAGTTGAGTTTATCAGAAACAAAGTTTTCTAATATTCCATTTTGGAGAAGTGTGACATTTTTTTGAGGTTTGTGGCTCACAAACACCCTTAAAATTTGAATTATTAAAGGAGATTTAAGATATACTTTGAAAGTGAGAATATTACCTATCAAATTAGCTGTCTTAGTCTATTATAATACTAATTATCTATGTTAATAAAGCCTCAGAAATATAGAACTCTTGAATACATTATTTCTGGAAAGTAAAGTGGCAGCATATGTTCAAAGTCTTAAGCCTGACAACAATAAAATCTATATGGTATTTTTTTATGAGAGA